TTGATTTCACCAGCAATAAAAGCATTCTCTTTTTCTTCGTCCCTCAGTTTGAAAGGGTTGTCAGTTCCTAAAACTGAAGTTTGCTTCACAACTGAGACATTTTTTCTGTGAACAACTTGGTCAAGAACCAAACTGTTCAAGATGGAAGACATGTGAGAAACTAGGTTTGACTCTATTTCCTTATAATCCTTTGTATTTCTGTGATGTCAGTTGTCACTTGTCCTCTTTTATTTCTGGTTTTATTTATTTGGGTCCTTTTATTTTTTTCTTAATGAGTCTGATAAAGGTTTATTAATTTTGTTTATCTTTCCAAACATGAGCTCTTGGTTTCATTAATCTTTTGTTTGGTTATTTTTTAGACTTTATTTTATTTTATTTATTTCTGCTCTGATCCTAATTATTTCCTTCCTTCTGTTCACTTTGGGGTTTGTTTTTGCTTCCTCTCTGAGTTCCTTTGGGTGTAAAGTTATATTGTTTATTTGATATTTTTCTTGTTTTTTGAGTTAGGCTTGTATTACTATGAATTTTCCTCTTAAGACTGCTTTGCCAGTATCCCATAGATTTTTTTGGGCCACTGTGTTTTCACTTTCTTTTGTCTCAAGGTATTTTTTAATTTCTTTCCTGATCTCATTACTAACCTATTCATTGTTTAGTAACATATTATTTAGCTTTCCTGTGTTTGTTGTATTTTCAATTTTTTTTCTCGTAATTGATTTCTAGTTTTATACCATTGTGATCAGAAAAGATGCTTGATATGATTTCAATCTTTTAAAATTTATTGAGACTGATTTTGTATCTTAATATGTGATCTACCCTAGAAAATGTCGCAGGTGTGCTTATAAAGAATGTATATTCTGATGCTTTGGGGTGTAATGTTCTAAAACTATCAATTAAGTCAATCTTGTCTAATGAGTCATTTAAAGCCACTCTTTCCTTATTGATTTTTAGTGTGGATGAACTATCCATTGATGGTAATAGGGTGTTAAAATCCTCTACAACTACTGCATTATTGTTGACTTCTCTTTTTATGTCTGTCAATATTTGCTTTATATATTTAGGTGCTCCTATGTTGGATTCATAAATATTTATAAGGGTTATATCCTCTTGTGGGTTGATTCCTTTATCATTATTAAATGTTCTTCTTTGTCTCTTACAGACTTTGTTTTAAAGTCTATTTGTCTGATATAAACAACTTTTTTTCATTTGCATAAAATATATTTTTTCATCTGAAGTGGCTCTTTTGAAGACAGCATATATACAAGTCTTGTTTTCTTATCAATTTAGCCATCCTATGCATGTTGATTGGAGTATTTAATCCATTTATTTTTAAAATAATTATTGATAAGAATGTAGTTATTGTTATTTTATCTTGATCCTCTTTTTTTCTTAAACAAGTTTCTTTAACATTTCTTGTAATACTGGTTTGTTGGTATTGAACTCCTTTAGCTTTTTTCTTGTCTGGAAAGCTCATTATCTCTCCTTTGATTCTAAATGATAGTCAAACTGATTAGAGTAATCTTGGTTGTAGGTCCTTGTTCTTCTTTTTTTTTTAATCCTTCTCCGAGGATATTTTTTTATGGACTTTTAGTGAGAGACAGAGAGATCAATTGGTTGCCTCACATATGCACCCCAACTGGGGATCAAAACCACTACTGGGAATTGAGCCCAGTCAGGGTACACACTTTTTGGTGTATGAGATGACTCTCTTACCAACTGAGCCACCTAGTCATGGGCTAGGTCCTTGTTTTTATCAGTTTAAATACTTTGTGTCAATCCCTCCTGGCCTGCAAATTTTCGGTTGAGAAATCATCTGACAGTCTTCTCTGAGAGCTTTCTTGTAGGTAACTAACTACATTTCTCTTGATGTTTTTAAGATTCTCTTTGTCTTTAACCTTTTATATTTTAATTATGGTGTATCTTGCTGTGGGTCTCTGGTGTATTTGGGTGTGTCATTTGTTGAGCTAATTAGTTGGTGATCAGGTGTGGTCTGAAGCTAGCCACTGGCTGTGTCGGTTCTGGGGCTTCTTGGGGCGGGGGGTGCTCCAATGCAGGCAAAGACCTGCCACTGCCTGTGCTTGCCCAGGGGCCATCTGGTAGATACTACAAAGTGATCTGCGGTTGGTAGTTGCCTCTACTGGAGGTGCTTATAAGAAGCTATGCTGTGAACTGAGGCCAGCTGCCATTAGTGCTGGACTTAGAGCTGCTTAGCAAGGCCGGCTCCTGCTTGTTTGGGGCTTGGAGTTTGTTGACATTTGAGAGATTTTAGAAAAGTCCCTAGTATGGGCACTTGTGAGAAACAGCTGCTGAATGAAGTTTAGGCCAGTGCAAAAGTTTTGTGGGGTGAGCAGTGTTAGCTAGGTTGATGGAGACTGAGATTTGATGTTCAGCTATGCCTTCAGGCTGCATGGGGAGAGGGCTCAATAAAGGATTAATGGCACCAGCCTGCACTTCTGCCTATTCTTGCCTGCTCTGTTGGGGGAGGGCTCAACAAAGGAACAATGGCATGTGCCAGCACTTCTTTCCCAGAGAACTGCCCCTCCAGCACTCACCCTGAAGTCAATTCAGTTCCTCTCTATATGTTCCTGGCACTTTTCAAGTTGCTTTCCTTTGCTGGAGCTTAGGGCTAGTGTTTGTAAGTGAGTGAGTCGACTTGGGCCCCTTAAGAAGATCCCTGGGTTTTCAGCAGCCCTCCATCTTACCCAGATGAAGTGTGTCACTGCTGATTTTCAGTCAGATGTTGTGGAAACTACTTTTTTCAGCACTTTTGTTCCAGGCTGGCATGTCTGGCAGGTGTGTGTGTATGTGGGGGGGGGGGGCATATTGGGGGCTCCACAACTGAAATATCTCTCCTGATTCTTAACCTCCACATGTGGATGGGGAACCAGACTATTTCACATCCACACTCCTCTTGTCAGTCTTGACTTAGATTTTTCTTTATATCTTTAGTTATAGTCAACAAGTGGTTTTCAAGGGTGAATGTTCTATAATTTAGTGGCAATTTTGATGTGATTGTGGGAGAAGATGAGCACAGCATTTACCTACTCCACTATCTCTTTATCTATTCATCAGATGGTGAATTTGGGTTGTTTTTACTTTTTGGCTATTAAGAATAATGCTGCTATGAAAATTTGTATACAAATTTTTGTGTAGATGTACGTTGTTATGGACTGTATGTCTGTGTCTCCCAAAATTTATATGTTGAAGCTCTAACTTCTAATGTGAATGTTTTAGGAGGTAGGATCTTTGGGAGGTAACTAGTTCATAAGAGTGAAGTCCCCATGAATGGGATTAGTGCCCTTATAAAAAGAGGAAGAGAACAAAACATGATATCTCTCCACCAGGGGAAAACAACAGCAAGAAGATGTCATCTGTAAATCAGGAAGAAGGCTTTCACTAAAACTTGGTCATGCTGATACTCTGACCTTAGACTTCCTGCCTCCAGATCTGTGAGAAAATAAATGTTTGTTGTTTAAATCACCTAATCAATGACATTTTGGTAATAGCAGCCCAAACCGACTAACTCACAGGCTTTTATTTCTCTTGGGTATATAGTTAGAAATAGAGTTGCTGTGTCATATGGTAAGCCTATGTTTATACTTTTGAAGAGTTGCCAGACTGTTTTCCAAAGCAGCTGCACATTCTACATTCCTGGCAGTAGTATTTGAGGATTTCTTTTTTTTTTTTTTTTTTTTTTTTACATATCTGCCAGCTTTCTACATACTTTTTATTATCTGATCTTTTAAAATTCTAGTCATTCTAACGAGTGTCAAGTGGCATTTCATTGTGCTTCTGATTTACATTTCCCTGATGCTTAATGATGTTAAAACATTTTTTTACGTGTTTATTGGCCATTTATATATCTTCTGTGGAGAAATGTCTATTCAGATTATTTTTGTATTTTAAAATTACTTGTCTCTTTATTATTAAGTTGTAAGAGTTCTTTATATATTATACATACAAGTCCCTTATTAGATATATAATTTCCAAATATTTTCTTCATCCTATAGGTTGTCTTTTTACTTTCTTTATGGTATCCTTCGATGCACAGAATTTTTAATTTTGATAATGTCTTATTGCAATCTATTTTTGCTTTTGTTGCTTGTGCTTTAGTGTCATAATCCAAGATTAAAGATTAACCCCTATGTTTTCCCCAAAGAGTTTGAGACTAGGTGGCTTAAACAACAAACATTTATTTCTCATAGATCTGGAGGCTGAAAGTTTAGGGCCAGGTACCAACATAATCAAGTTTTGGTGAAAGCCTTCTTTCTGGTTTACAGATGACACCTTCTTGCTGTGTCTTCACATAGTGGAGAGAGACCATGTTTTGCTCTCTTCCTCTTTTCATAAGGGCACTAATCCCATTCATGAGAGCTCCACCCTTATGACCTAATTACCTCTCAAAGTTCCCACCTCCTGAAACCTTTAACTCTTAGGCCTTTGATCCTTTGAGTTAGTTTTTGTTAGTTATAGTGTAAAGTTAGGGTCTAATTTCTTTCTTTTACATGCAGAAATCCAGTTGTCCCAGCACTATTTGTTGAAAAGAATATTCTTTCCCTCTTTAATTGTCTTGGCACCCTTGACAAAATCAATTAACCTACCATATTGTTTCGCTTTCAATTTTTACCCCAAACAATTTTGTTGATGAAGATATTGATATGGAAAAAAACAAACAGCTGAACAAACAGACACATTGAACAAAAGCCAGCAGTGCACAGTATTCAACTCCTTTTTTATGGAAACAGACTACAGCTGTCCCAAGTAGATCCTGGGAAAGGATCTGGGGTGTTTATCTAAGGCGTCCCTTGAGATAAACTTTAACCGAGCAGGTGTGGGACATTCAAGTAGTTGCTAGCGAATAGGCTACTCTATGCAAGCAGGAGCAAGGGCAGGCCTAGGACCGAAAAGACCAGAAGCTTTAATTTTAAGCATCACAAAATAATTCAATTAACTGCCGGAGGAATTACACCACATGAAACATGCAGTTGCACTTTATTACTCACACAAGTTCCTGATGCTGCGAGTACAGACTTAAAGGGGATCCCGGTGGTGCTGTCCTCTGGGCTGGTCTGGTCCGGATGCAGGGGGCCGGCATTCCTTACCTGAGAGCTCGGTCCTGTCTCTATCAGTTCAGGTGGCTATCAATGAATTACATCAATGCACACATGTTAATCTCAAACAGGGCGAGGGGCTACATGTGGTTATCTAGGGAGAGTACAGCACTCACTCAAATGGTTATCTTGACAACTCACTCTAAGTCAGTAACTGAAGTTCAAATCCTTATCTATGAGGTACACATGCTTCAGGGCAGTAGGGAATGTGTCCTTAATATCACACTTTAAGTTTCAAGGAAAGTTAACGCAAACATTTTAAAACCTTAACATTTTTAGATAGTTTAAAAGCATTTTTAAACATTTCTATATTTTACTACAACAACAGCCCTTGTTAAATGTTTCTAATCTGTGTTTTAGTGTATACTGACCAATTTGTTCATCAGCTTGCTCCTTGGCATCATGTGCTAAAAACTTTTTACTTCACCTCAACACAAACACAACAGAGATTCCACGAGGAACATGCTAGCTCTAGCTGATTAGAGAGACCTTAACATTAGCCACAATTCACTCTTATTTTTTCTAAGACTAAGACTTTGACCAACTTGGAGGAGTCTACTAAATTTTAGTTGTAAAATAAAAAATCTGTTGAAGACATTGCTGCCTTTCTTGTGGGGTCATGATATCTGTTTAAGGGCTGCAATTTAAGAATTTTCTCAGTCCCAGAACTATCTTCCCACTAAACCTCTCACTTTAGGGAGGCTGCTCACTTTGGGTAATGATATAGCATCACTACATGTATCAGCAATTACAAGAGTTGTGACTCAAATGCTGATTATCACAAACATTCAGAGCTCCTTTGTTGATAGGGAAGAGAAGAGGGAATGTGTGTTCTCTAACAACTCAGGAGCAGTTCAGACATGCCAGCCTGTCTAGGCTGCAGCACTGTCTGCTGGGCCACAGACACAAGAAATGTAAGCTTCAAGGAGAAAAGCAACTTTAGGAGAGCTTATCATTCAAAATCAATCAAACAAAGACTCACAGCATTCGGTCTCCGATGATCTTCACAGGTGTGAGTTGAATCCCATTCAGAAGAGTATTTTTAGCAGTGCTCAGCAATGGACTGTGAATCAGCTCTGGTTATAAAATATTCTTCTTCAGTCTGGTATCAGAATTCAATATCATTTTGATTTGCTCCTCACTGAACAACTAGTAGATACAAAGTTCCATACATGCATTGTGGGGAGGAGGGTGGTATAATAACGAATACAGAAAGACACAATCCTCACTGTCGTGGAGTTTACACATTCAGTAGGAGTTTGCCAGAACTCATTGCTGAAGGAACCATGCATTGTTAAAAAAAATGTTAGACTTCTTTAGACAATAATTCCTGTGTTTGAGGGTCCCCAAGACAACCCTCAGGTTCAATGGTTCATTAGAAGGACTCATAGAAACGACCAAAGCTGTTAAAATCACGGCTATGGTTTATTATAGTGAAAAGACACAGATTAAAACCAACAACAGAAACTGGGCATAGAATGTAGTCGAGGAGAGACCAGGCACAAGCATCCAGCTGTCCAGTGGGGTCATATGGACAATGCTTAATTCTCCATATAACAATGTGTGGCAATGCATACAAAGTATTGCCAATAAGGGAGACTCACCTGAACCTTGGTGTCCAGGATTTTTATTGTAATTCATTTACATAGGCATGGCTGACTGCCTGTGTGGTTGACGTAACTCCAATCCTATGATACTATGTAATCCAGGGCCCTTATCAGGTCACATTGTTAGCATTGACTATCATGTGTGGTTCAATACTCTTAGGTAAACAAAGGTACTTTTATCAGGCAATGCATTCCAATGATTTAGAGGTTATCTCCAAGGAACTAGGCAAGGTCCAAAACTTTTTTGTGAGGTGTGCAGTGTTTGGCAACCCAGACTTGCTGAACTAATCCTTTATTGCACAATACCCAAATGCTTTCTTATTGTAAAGAAAAAAATTCCTCATACATTACAGATACATCTAAAGCACTCCTCCCCATATCAGGAGCATATTTACAAAAGCAATGTTTGCCTGCATGCTGTCATTAGAATCTCTGTTTTAGTGTGCATTGGAATAAACTCTCAGAAAGGGGGATGGTGGAAAGCATACTTAGCATTAGAATAAACTTTCACATACTTAGCATTAGAAAACTTCCACGTACTTCCCCAGGGATTCTCAGAACTCAGAGATTACATTCCATTTGAGCACAGATAAATAATGGAAAAATCAACATAAAATTTTTAGGATGACAACTGAAGAGGCACTTGACCTCAAACCTGCTACAAGTCCAGGGTGGCGCATGCTGGTTCACTGGGATTACCTTCAGAGAAACATCTAGAATAGTATTTTACCACATCTGGGGATGATGGCCCAGCCATCACCTGTCACAGGGGGTGACAGGGAAGGCCATTCTGGGAAGGTGATATTTAAATTGAGAGAAATCTAAAGAATGAAGAAGAAATCAGACATGTGAAGAGGGAGAGAAGCATTCCAGGTAGAAGATACTAGCCTCAGTGTCAACTTCTCTCAAGTTGGATTTTTCTTTCATCACCTGCCATAAATATCATTAAATAACAAAAGGAGAATAACAGCTGGTTCTTCGGTGGAACCAAGGTTCTGTCATCTAGTGACACAAGGTCAGTCCTTTTTCTATTCCAAAATTAATCTGAGAAATTCCAAAGTAGGGGATGTTGTCCATTTCCCAAACTGGACAGGACACCAAGGCAGGTTTCTAAGGAAAGCAATGGGGAAAGGAAAAAAAAAAGCAAATCTCAAAAGCTACAGAGAAGATGATTGAGACCTTGAGAATTCACTTAGTTTTTCCTTGGAATTCTAAAGTTACAGCTCATACATGATGGTTGGAAATCCAACTGATTTGAGAAAAGGCCTGTTCTCACAGTGAGGAGTGCCCCAGATCCAGACACATCCTATTGCGAGAGGGTGAACTGCTCCTCGCCCTGGCCTTAGTGCCATCTTCCCCAACTCCCACAGCTCTGGCTTAGGACACACCTGCCCAGCAAACCAAACCCACTTTTCCTCCACAGTGCAGCCCAGGTCCTCCTCCCCGCCCCCACCTCAGGCTGGCAGAGACTGGTGTGCCAGGACTTGCTGATTTCTCCTCTTTGATGCTCTTGGCTTCAGGCAGGATGTGCTGGTCTGAACTCCAGTAATTTGTATTTTATAGTTTTAGGGCTCTTCCTCCCTTGGGAAGCTTATTGACAGCCTCTATGTCAACCAAAGTGGCATAATTATTTGCCTTTCTGGTACGTGTATGTTGCAAAAATGTGTTTTTCTTTTGGTTCCTTGCTCTAAGTCCCTCTAAGTCTCTCCCTCTCTCTCTCTTCCTGTTAAGGAAGATACAAACATCTCTCTTGAGGAAAGTACAAAATGCTCTGTGTTGTTTTTCCCCTGGGAGTGGTCCTTTTTGTGCTTTCCTCTCTGAAGAAGGAAACTCTGTCCTTTCTTTTCCCTCAGGCTAGGAGTTGACTGTTTTATTCCAGTAACTCAACACTCACATGCTAATTTATTCACCAGCCAGACTATAACAGCTTCAGGTGTTGGACCTAAAGCCAGTGAAGCTTGTACAATTTGAAAATTGTGCGGATAATTTAAATTCTGGCAAAAATTTTAGGTATGCAGATAGACCATAGGAAGTAAGTTTTCTGGTTAAATGTTAATGTTTTATAAGGATAAAATAAAGCCCCAAAGAAGGTCTTCTACCTTTCCTGAAATAAAAATAATAATAGCTAACGTATGTAGCACTAGGAGCCAGACATTGTTTTCACACTCTGGAAAAATTAACCTATTCAGTCTTCACACAACCTCAGAAGATTGACACTGTAATCCTATGGACAAAAAAAGAGGCCACATACTAAACCTGAGGAGCTCAGGGGAGGCCTACATGGCAGGCCTTACAAACTCAGAGACCTAAAACTTAACTGAAAGCGAATCATGGAGGGCAATCATGTCCTAGGCTGGTATCTTCCTTGACGAAGGTCAATCTTTAACTTAACTGAGACTCTCTATTGTCTTTTTGCATCTACAGTAACATACTTGTGTAATTTCAGAGTAATCCCCCTTTTTCCAGACCCCTCAGGGTACAATCTTCAACTAGATCAGAGAACATGGAAGCCCCTAATGGTTATCTTGTTGCCCAAATACCATCTCTACTTGCTTTAAGTGTTAATTATTAACTATGCTATATCCACCAATGTAAAAGTAGCATTTGTCTCCTTAGAGATTGCCCCATTTTGCTGTCTTCTGCTTCCCTAATCCACCACCAATGAATTTCATGTATCTCTCCTTACATCTCCTCTTTTGATGGTAATGTATAACATAAACTGTAAAACTGCCATTCTCCAGAGGGTTTTCTCAATCTGTTGAGATTTTTCTTCCTGGCAATTGTCAGTTGGCTCAAATCTATATATATAAAAGGCTAATATGCTAAGTATTCCTATGACCATCTGACCAGTTGCTATGATGCACACTGACCACCAGGGGGCAGATGCTCAACACAGGAGCTGCCTTGACGCACACTGGCTATTTACAAAGAAACGGTACTGTGGACCTGGTGCCAACAAAGCAACAGTTGACTTCCCCTGAGTGGGACACAGGCCCTGCCACCACCCTGGAGCCAATGCTGATGAGGCCCCATGGCACAAAATGCGGCTCACAGCCCAACCCAGCCTGGAAATGGTGGCTGTGGACACTGGGTAATGACATCAAGTAGCAACGCTTGGTTTCCTCTCCCTAGCAACTAGCCTCCTTGGAGTTTCTTCAGCCCAGGAACAGGACTTGTTTTATAGCCAGGTGCAAATGTTTTACACTTTAACCAAATGTCTGTGAAGCATTTTCTCATGCCTCATCTCATTTGATTCTCACAGAAGTCCTGGAATAGATAGATAGGAGAGTTGGTGGAATACAATTTTCTTTTCATTAGCCATAAAATGAAGATTTAGAAACTTGACCCAACTGAAAAGAAGTAAGAAATGGTGGACCTTGAAAATGACTTCAGGGAGAACCAAGATGGTGGCATAAGGTTTAAACCTGTATGTGCTGCCCCCCACAACAACATTAAAACTACAACTAAAAGACAAAACAGCTATCATCCAGAACCAC